AGTTGCACGGGCTGCCTAGAAGCAGGAGTGGGAAGGAGATGGATGGATGGATGAAGCATGGCAGCTGGAAAAAGGGAGGAGCGGAAGGGGCAGGACAGAATGGGAGACAGCAGGTCTGAGCCATAGGCTGGGCCAGTAACAATCAGGGGCTCGGAAGGGATGAAGTATCACTGGCTGCTGCTGACAGCTAATACTGTCCCCCCGATGCCACAAAACGTGGCTGTGATCCCCCCAGAAACCCTCCCTGATGCACTCAAGGAGGCTCAATCCAGCTTCATTCACCCACCTTGCTTGTCTCTTGACTGTCCGGATCAAATGGCACCTGCTTCACTGACAGCTCCCTGCCTGTGTCGGCATCATAGCAGAGGTAAACCTCCCCAAAGGCACCTCTGCCAAGGAGCTTCCCCAGTCTCCAGTTCACAGGAGCCTGCAGGGCTACAGAAAGGGCAGGGAGAACTCAGTAAGGATGTAGCAGAGAGATGACCACCTACAGGCTCATCTGACCCTGCCAAAGGTAGCTCCTCTGTGTGCTGTGTAATGATTGAGGCACTTCCAGAAAGAGTGACCCCAGAGCCCTGCTCTTCCCAGGTGTCAGTGGAGTTACCAAACTTTCTCACATACAACACACACTTTTTTCCCCAAAAAGCAGCTGCTGGAAACTGGAATGTGCATTATATGCAAGGAAGTACAACAACAACAGTTTGTGCCACTTACCAGGCCAAAGCCAAAGCAAAGCCTGCACATAATCCACAGGGAACAGAACAGAGCAAGCTCCACTCCCTACCTGTTACTCAGTTACTTACTATAAGGAAAGATCTTTGCTTTGTTTTGCCTTTTAAAAAAATAAGATCTGTAATAAGATACAAAAATAAGATATCTTATTCCAGGATGCACTGTATGTGAGGAAATACGGTATTCCCAATCTGCCCAGAATCAGGCCCAATGAGACGACATGTATACAGGGTCTCTCCCGTGCGGCACAGCTCAGAGTGGTTTGCGATGAAGAGTGGCATCTCCCCAGTCAGACTCATGAAAGGCAGCCACTGCTGGAGTGGAAACCAAGCGCTGGTAAATAGCACCCAGTACTACATGCAGCTGATGGGAGTAGGGAGTAGGGAATAATTTGTCCCTTTGGGACTGCCGAGGGCACATAGCTTTCCAAGATGGAATTAGATCTACATCTATAGCATGACCATGAGACGTCAGGGCCTTAGCTCAGTGCCTCAGGAGTGCCATGCTGCCCGGCTGGTTTATTATCAGTTCAGATCTGAGGTGGAAGCGGATTAAAATACTCTTCCCCCACCTTTCCCCCTGCATCTGGACTCTCCTCAGAGGTTTCCCCATCTGCTGACCCTACCCAATACAATGTCACAGCCAGGCCACAGCGTTGACCACCAGCTGCTGAAGTTCACTCACAGTTTCTGGACTTCGTGGGGGATGTGCTGAAGACATGCAAACCCTTTTCACAGTTGTTCCAGCGCTTGGTCCTGTGCTCCTCGTACTGTAAGGTGCTCAGCTTGCTGTCCCCATTAAAGCTCTTTGTCCTGCTGGAGGGGACAAGCTGGAACAGGGTCTCCTGGGGGATGTAGCTCCTCGGGAAAGTCCTTCGGCCTACGCGAGGAAAACAGGAGAGCTGAGGATGGGACACACGACTGGTGGTGTCCAGCTCTTATCCCTTGTCCCCTGGTCTGACCTGAGTCTATGTTCAAAGTATCCCCAGTTTAAACTGGTTATAGAAAAGGCTAGTTAAGCACATGCCAAACCCTGCACAGATGTGTGTAGTCTTACTGGATCCTCAGCTGAAGGCAGTGAGGAATCAGTTTAGGACCAGTCAATGTAAACCAGGATAAAACCAGATTCAGAGCATCTCCACAGGGTTTGCACCAGTCAGCTGACCTGGTTTACAAAATGTAATGCAGTGTAGGAGACATGCAAGGATTTAGGCTGAGAAATCTTTGCAGCAGGATCCATCTTTTCATGATCAGAGGACCCCGACTGCTAACTGCAGTCTCTATCACCATAATAGAAACATCACCACCACTACCCAAAAGGCAATAATGTTTGCTTCAAGAAGAAAAGACAAGCTGCCTAGCTAGCTCACTAAGTTGGAGAAGAGTCATAGTAATACACCATTCATACTTTTTTCATCAGTGTATTTGAAAGCACTTTCCCAAGACAGCTGGCATTATTAAGGCCCATTTTACAGACAAGGAAACCAAGGTGCCTATACAGGAGCAGCAAGGCTTCTCCGATGCGCTGGAATTCCAGCACATCGAACCAGTCTCGATTAATCGAGTCTGCTGAAGCAATTACTACGCTTCAGCATCCTCCTGCATCACGTGTATCAGCACCCCCAAGCTTAAAAATAGTGGCAGGGGGTCACTATTCAAATGCCCCCACCACCATTTTTAAACGCAGGGACAATGATACACAAGACGTGGCAGCGCGTTAATTAAAGCGGGTTTTGGAGCCACTCTAAAGTGCTGCCTCCCCACTCCCGGAGCATGTGTAAAAGTGCCTCAAGGCATGGGCAGTTAAGTGACTTGCCCAAGGTCCCCGTGCTGGCAAGCAGCACAGCTGGAAATAGCTCTAGGTCTCTAAACCCAAAACCACTGCTGAACCTGCCAGACCATACATTTCTTGCTGTCCTCAGGGTGACCCTTGTGTAGCTCCAAGAGGTGAATTTCATGACAGCATAACCATCATCCCAGCTAGAGAAACGAAACACAAGGCAGCACAAAGAGATCAGCATGGGTGAACCCACTGATTATACCATCTTGGTGGCATGAAATGATGGGGAGCTGACGGGAAGCACTGAGGCACAGAGTCCTTCATAAACGCCAGATTCCAGCCAGCCCTCACGATGTTCCTTGGGCCTTCACTCAAAATTAATCCCACGGAAAACTGAAAATGGAGAAAACCCTGGGCCTTGCCCTCCACCCCAAAAAATCAGGCAACAGCTGACGCGGTGACTCAGCAAGCCGTAATTCAAGCCACAAGCTCTGGGAACGCTCCTCGGGCTGCTTGTTCCAGACAGAACTTAATTGCAGAATTAATTGTTTCCTTCCGAACGAAACAGCCTGATGAGCTGCCTGGGTGAGTCTAAGTCCACTGCAAGCTACAAGGAAGCTGAAGGAAGAGGGAAAACTTTAGCTCAGCAGAGCATTTGCCACTACTAAAAGTCCTGGCATTCCAGGGGTGGAAATACAAAAATGCCCGGCTGATGACTGAAGCAGAGACGTGGCAAGCCTGGCTGCTGTGGAATGATGTGTGGTCAGTGATGGAGGTGGCTGGGGTAAATCCTCATGGCTAGAGGATTCCTGGTTGCATCTCAATCTGTTTATTAACCATCTAGGTTCACTTCGAGCTCCCTTCCTTCTACCCTCAGTCTCCAACACCAAAACCTCTTTCCTTTTCCTTTTGTATTTCTTTATTTATTTTTACACATTTCACCTCTTGCATGTCTCCTATTTCTACCCCGGGGCCTATTATTCCTTCTTTCAATAGGTCTGTGCTATTCTGACAGGAAAGAAGAAAACCTAAACTTAGCTGAACTTTGACAACTTGATGCTGCCAGTCTGCAAGATCCGCCACAGGAATCACTGACCTCTAGATCAGCCATTCATCACTATACCAGTTCTAAATTAAAGTCCAGTTGCAAAGGGTTAACATTATGGCCAGTTTGTGTGTCTTTGTTTTGTTAAACTTAAGGAAGGGGTTAAATCAGGGCAAGAAGGATTTTTTTATAAAAATATTTCTTAAATGGGATTTCGAAAGGCACTGGTGATGATGATGAGGATCAGCTGGACTGTGGTAGCACCAATGATCTCAGCCCAGCATGCTAGGCACTGCCTGCCACATGTTAAACACAGTGCCTTGGGAAAAGGGGGAGGCAACAGGATAATCTCTGAACCACAGTACTCCTCAGCTGAATCCGGGAAAGCAGAAAATCCTGAATTCACATGACATGCCAGCCCACAAAGTTCCTACTGCTCTGTGAGAAATCCCCTGTGCAGGGAACGGACATACACCCCATCAAAAACAACTAAATGAGGGACAGGAGGAGGTCACCGGTAGATAAATGGGAGACGTAGCAACAGGGCAAGGGGTAGAAACAGCCATTGAGAGGGTGAAAAAGCTGAACAAGATGGAGGGCACGAGCCTATTAGATGCTCGGCACTTTGCAAGATCAGGCCCACGCTGCACCTTCTTGTCTCTCTGTGGTGGCCCTGACTGGGACCTGTCCATGACTAATTTCTCTCTAAAAGAGAGTCTCACAGCACTGGACAGAAATATACTGGCAAAATCCATATTTGCAGAGCCCACGTGTTGGTCGAGGCAGACACCCAGGGTGCCACATTAGAAGAGGAGGGTCCAGCCAGAGCTGGCTCTGCAGGGGATATTACGATAGGCTTGTGGCCACTGTGATAAAGCTATCAAAAGGACTCAATGAACTGTGAGGAAGGAGGGTCTTGCACTGGCTTGGGGACTCAGGAAACCTGGGTTTCCTTCCAGTTAGTGCCGAGATCACTTCATGTCTATCTCTGGTCCCCATTGCTAAAATGGGAGTAGTTCTGCTCTTAAGGATTAGCCCCATTTCATACAGGGAAAACAGTCTCAAAACTGAGGCCATTAAAGGGCAAAAGAATCAAAGGTAAAGGCATACGTGTATGGCCTGACTTTAGGTGCTTGGGTATATATAATTTAAATGCTTGGAGCCGCCATATTTAAATATTTAGACCCAACAGACTTGTCCAAGAGTGTCAGCAGCAAAGGAAGGAACAGAGCCAAGGGCCCTACAGGCCAGTCCTGACTTTATTCACTAACACACACGCCTCCCTATCTTGAAATCACTTCCAGCTGGCTCACATTGATGCTGCATCCATTACCTTGCTGAAGGGGAGCAGGATGAAACTAAAGGCCAGGGATATCCATCCTAGAGAACAGAAGTTACTCAGCTCAGTTTCCAACACAATATACCAATACCACAAACACATTATTCAATTAACCTTCTCAAACTCTTCCATGGCCATAGTATCTAAGCATCTGGCAATCACTCCTGCATCCTTACAAGCATTGTACTCCTGGGTTGTAACCCCCCATCTGTAAATGGAGATAAGGCAGTGCTGTTATCCTCCATTCACAGATGGGCACCTGAGAGGCGGAGCTGTTAAGACCCATAGGAAGTCAAGAACTTAGACCTCTCTGTTCCTAAGTCAGTGCTTTATATATTACTCTGCCTTAATGCTCACCAAGCCCCTAGAGACTATCCCCCCTCCCCAGGATTTCCCCGACATGCCCTTGGCGTGGTCTCACCATCACTGTAGTCCTTGCGGCTCTGGGAGAGGTGGTATTGCCTAGGGAAAGTGCCACCTTTTCCAAATCTTTCACAAAATGGAATATCAAAATCTGGAAGGAGATAAAGAGGAAAGTGGTTTTTAGATTAACTCAGCATTGAACGTGTAAGATGTTTCTCTACTGCTTCCAGAGCAGTATCTAGAGCCCTACCAAGAAGCATGACCCGCCTGTCTACTCCCTCTCCACATGTGCCAGACCCCAAAATGAGGCAGTGGGCCTTCCCTTCCAGCCACTTCTCTTGACAACTCCATCTCCAGCGTGCTTAAGGCTGGGGGCAGCGTGTGCACTCAGGGTGGCTTCACTGCCTAGTTTTGGGATTCAGTATGTGCAAAGCAGACCTTGCTCAAAAAAGGTCTGTCCTTTATACTACCTGCCAGTGAAAAACCAGCTTAGAGATGACTCCATCATGGAGGCTGTTCATTCACAAGTCTCTGGGCTGAAATCTCCCAGGATCAGACAACTGGACACCAACCCAGCTCTAACAGAAATGATTGGCCAAAAGGCCTGGTGCTGACTGCGTTGAAGCCAATGGAGGCTTAGCCAAAAACTTCAAGGAGAGCAGACTCTGGCCTATGAAGTTTAAAGGCTCAAGTTAGCTCTCATGACTTGGGACCATCCCCTGTTGCTGCCTCTTCCCCAGCTAGCTCTGATGTCCTTGGAGGCTGCAAGTCACTGAGAAGAGCCTCTCCAGAGAGTGCCCATCTCTCCCCCATCCTCATCTCTTGTTTCTCTCCCTTTCTATCATTTTCCTGGCCTCCTCCATTGCTCTTCCTCTCTACTCCACCCCAGTCCTTTCCCAAATCCTCTGAGAGTCCCCTTCTGGCTAGCTTCCTCTTTACACTCTAGTGCCTCAACTCTCTTGTCTCCCCTCACACAGAGCCATCAGACTTGCATTATACAGATCAGTCTCCTTTCCCAGGAGGCTAATATCGGCTGGGATGATTTTGACGGAAAGCAGTAGAGTTGAACCTTACAGGCTAACTCAATTAGGGATGCATAGGTTTTTGCAAGCAGCTTACTTCATCATGGGACTGCAGGGAACAGAGCTTCTAAACAGAAAGCAGGAATTTGAGAGTGAAGAGGGAGGAAAAGGGAAGAGGCGCTTCTGAGGGAGGCAAAGGCGGGTAGAAGAGAGAAGAAACAAACACTGTTAGCTCACTGAGGACATTGGGGTTATAGCAGCTAATCCAGGTGTGGGAATAAGACTCCGTAGTACCCGTTTAGACCAAACTTCGCACAATCCAATCTGTGGATGATTTCAGCCAGATGGAGTCAGGCCTCGGGGCCACCGAGCCCAGGTCTCCGTGATCTGAGAGAGCACAGACAGCGTCAGATACTTCAGAGGAAAACGCAAGATCCTGGTAGGTGGCAGATGTGAAATAACCTGTGCACATACGAGGCCATCATGTGGACCAAGAGCCGAAGACTGGCTTAAACCCTGAACCAGGAAGGTCTTCATATCAACCGCCACACATTAATATTAGCTTGGATGGAAGAGAGCAGAGAGGACAAAAGTTTAGATCAGGTAACAGGACTTTGATATTACTAGGGAAGAAAACAAGACTCTCTATAAGAATAATAAGAGTATTGCTGGAGGGGCTGGATGTATTTAAGTCAGCCGACCCGGATGATCTTCATCTGAGGGTGCTGAAGGAATTGGCTGGTGTCATAGCAGAACCACTGGCACGGCTGTTTGAGCACTCGTGGTGTTCAGGTCAGGTCCCAGAGGACTGGAAAAGGACCAATGTGGTCCCCATTTTCAAGAAGGGGAGGAAGGAGGATCCATGTAACTATAAACTGGTTAGTCTCACCTCTATCCTTGGAAAAACCTTTGAAAAAATTATTAAGGATCACATTTGTGAGAGTCCAGCGGGGAAAGCAATGCTAAAGGGCAACCAGCATGGATTCATAGCAGGTAGATCTTGCCTAATCTGGTTTCTTTTTATGAACAGGTCACAAAATGCTTAGCCTCAGGAATTGAGGTGGAAGCCTACTTGGATTTTAAGAAGGCCTTCAATATGGTATATCATTATATTCTCATAGATAAACTGAGCAACTGTGACATAGATGATTACATGGTCATGTGGGTGGCAAATTGGCTTAGGGGTCACACCCAGAAAGTGGTGGTGGATGGGTCGGTATCGACCTGGAAAGATGTGGGCAGTGGAGTCCCGCAAGGCTTGGTCCTTGGACTGGTGCTATTCAATGTCTTCATTAGGGACTTGGATGAGGGTGTGCAAAGCACTCTGTCCAAATTCATAGATGATACCAAATTATGGGGTAAAGTTAACACAGCAGAGGGTAGGGAACGAATCCAGGAGGATCTGGACAGGTTGGAAAAATTGGCAGAACAGAATAGGATGCAGGTCAACAAGGATCAACAAGGACAAGTGCAAGGTGCTGCACCTACGAAGAAGGAATCACCAACACATTTATAGGCTGGGGGATGACCTTCTCAGCAGCACAGCAGCAGAAAGGGATCCTGGAGTCACTGTTGACTCCAAGATGAACAAGAGTCATCAATGTGACAAAGTGATCAGCAAAGCTAACTGTACTTTATCATGCATTAGCAGGTGCATGACAAACAGGTCCAAGGAGGTGATACTTCCTCTTCATGTGGCATTGGTCAGGCTGCCGTTGGAGTACTGCATCCAGTTTTGGGTGCCGCACTTCAAGAGGGATGTAGACAGCATCGAGAGGGTTCAGAGAAGGGCCACTTGCATGGTTAGGGGACTGCAGGCAAAGCCCTACGAGGAGAGATTGAGGGCCCTGGATCTCTTCAGCCTCCACAAGAGAAGGCTGAGAGGTGATCTTGTGGCAGTCTACAGATTCATCAGGGGAGGGCAGGAGGGAATAGGAGATGCTCTGCTCACCAGGGCACCTCTTGGAGTAACTAGGAACAACAGCCACAAACTGACAGAGAGCAGATTTAGGTTAGACGTCAAGAAGAACTTCTTCATAGTAAGGGTTGCCAAAATCTGGAATGGGCTTGCAAGGGAAGTGGTGCTCTCCCCTACCTCGGGGGTATTTAAGAGGAGGCCAGACATGCACCTGGCTGGGGTCGTCTGACCCCAGCGCTCTTTCCTATTCAGGGCAGGGGGTCGGACTCGATGATCTGCTCAGGTCTCTTCCGACTCAAACATCTATGAATCACACGGGCGTGCGAGGAGAAAATTAGGAGATGGCTAAGGCACAATTTGACATGCAACTGGCAAGGGACAGAAAAAGGCCAATAAAAAAGGGATTGTACAAGTATGTCAAGAGTCAGAGAAAGACCAGAAACCACCGGTCCCTTATAGAATGCAGGAAACAACCTAGTTATGGATGATGCAGAGGGCTGAAGTATTTAATGCCTTTTTTACTTCATTCTTCACAAAGAGAGGGAAGCTATCAGATGACTGCAGTTGGTAGCAAAGCTAGGGAAGGAGATAAACAGTCCTGAGTGATGGAAGAACAGGTTAGGGATTACTTAGAGAAGCTCTGGATACTTTCAAGTTGGCAGGGCTAGATGGGATGCACCCGAGGGTACAAGGTATTGGCTGAGGTAATTTCAGAGACATTGGCTAGCCTCTTGGAGTAATCACAGAAGTTGGATGAGATCCTGGATGATTGGAAAGGGGCAAATATAGTGCCAATCTTTAAGAAAGGGATGCAGGAGGATCTCAGGAAGTACAGATCAGTCAGCCTGACCTTGATACCTGGTCAGACCATGGAGCAGGTCCTCAAGGAAGCTATTGTGAAGCACCTGGAAGAGAACAAGGTGATCAGGCACAGACAGCCTGACCAAGAGCAACCTGACAAGCCTTCACCAAAAGCAAGTCACGCCTGATCATCAACCTGATTTCCTTCTATGATAAAGTGACAGGCTCTGGGGATAGGGAGAGACCAGTGAATGTGATACAACTTGACTTTAGCAAGGCCTTTGAAATGGTCTGCCATGCCACGGACATTAACAAAGTAAGGAAATACAAACTAGGCCAAAGTATGGTAAGGTGGATATATACCTGGCTGGATCATCGTACTCAACAAGTAGTCATCGATGGCTCAAATTTTAGTTGGGAGGAAGTACCAAGTGGGGTTCCCAGGAGTCTGTCCTGGGGCAAGTATTGTTTAATATCATTATTAACAATTTCAATGATGGAACTGAGTGCATGCTTAGCAAAATTTGTGGATGACACCAAGTTGGGTGGAGCTGCAGACACTTTGGAGGATAGGGCCATGATCCAGAATGACCTAGATAGACTGGAAGAAACGGTCTGCAATCAATCAGATGAGATTCAACAAGAACAATCCTGCACTTTGGACAAAATAACTGTATGCACAAATACAGACGGGGAAATTACTGGCTAGGCTACAGTACTGCAAAGAAGGATCAGGGAGTTGCAGTGGACCATAGCCTGAATACAAGCCAGAGTGCTCTTGGTGCAAAAAGGGCCAACATCATACTGGGTTATAGTAACAGGAGTGTCAGTTGTAAGTGAAAAGGAAGCAACTTTTCCACACGGGCACCACCTGGAGTATTGTGTCCAGTTTTGGGCTCCACACTTCAAGAAGTACACGGACAATTTGGAAATAGTCCAATGCAGAGCAACAAAAATGATTAAGTGCCCAGAAGGCAAGGTTTACGAGGAAAGGCTGAAAGAACCGGGATTATTCAGTCTGGAGAAAAGAAGACTGTGGGGGGATTTGTAACAGTCTTCAAAGACCTGAAGGACAATTAGAGGATGGAAATGGGCTTTTCTCTGTAGCCATAAGGGACAGGACAAGGAGCAATGGACTCAAGCTGCAACAGAGGAAGTTTAGTTTGGAGATTTGGAGGCACTTTCTGACTATGAGGGTGGTCAAGTATTGGAACCGGCTGCCTAGAGAAGTGGCGAAATCTCCATCCGTGGGAGTTTTCAAGAGCAAGTTGGACAGATGCCTGGCTGGGATGATTTTTTCAGGGATGACCCTGCTTTGAGCAGGGAGCTAGACTAGTTGACCTTGTGAGGTTCCTTCCAGCCCTTCTTTCTTATGATCTTACAGTTGAGACAAGCACTAGATGGAGAGGGATCAGGAAATATCTGATGAGGAGAACAGGAAGCCACCACTGGTAGCCTAGAACAACAGGGGATTAAAAAGTCTTTGTCATCCCCCCTCATTTTCCCTTCCTGTTTCTGCTCTATCCTAGTCTGACTACATGGCCCATTCTGAATGCTTGTTTGTCTTAGCCGTGAGCCAGCAGCTGCTCCTTGGAGACCACTACTGGCTTCAGTCTCACTTTAGCTCATCTTGACCATTACCCCAGCTCAGGCAAGCAGCACAAGTCCGGCTGAAACACAGGCAGCAAAGCTTCTGTGTCAGGTCAAGAGGCTCACGGAAAGCCATGTGCAAGCACCAGGAAAGGCACTGGGGGCCTATTAAAACACCAGTGACAGGGACCGGTATGGGAGCTCAAATCCCACGGTTTAATCTGCAAGTGCTGCCTCAAGCCAAAAATGTGTTATCATCCCCTCGGCCAAATGCCATTAGTTCATTTTTAATAGTGAAAGTCATGACAATATGATGAAGTTTCCATGACTTAACCAGCTGGGCATTTATGCTTGGCTAAGCACTAAGCGAAGGTTTTTGTGGGCTATCAATATGTTTTCCTTAAACGTATTGACTATTTCTCTTATTAATGCAAACAGAGATCCACTGCAACACAAGACATAAGGTGAAAGTAAACTCTGGTTAGAAACAACAGGTGCATTGGACAAGGTTATTTCCATCTTCCAAATGGAGCGAAATGCACGGAGCAAGGAAAGAGGCAAGCAGGATGGCTCAGTCCTGGAGAGACCATTACTGGATGGTGGAGACCTACTTCTAGCTTCAAACTTCAGCTTTACAGCTCCTGGGTGCAGAAGCGAACAGACTCCATAATCAGACCCGGCCACAGCTGGCTCATGCTGGCTGGCAAATTTGCAATGATCCATCAGAGTAGCAAGCATTATGCATCAGCACTCTCAGTCCTTCAATTTTAAAATGGCTTCAGGTCTAACAGCTGCAGGGGCCATTCACTAGCTAAGCAGTGAAGGCACTGGTTTGCTGCTGATTATTTTTATCTCAGAATCTTCTTCTATTTTCCCTGACAGACATGTAGGTTTGAAAAAGCCACTTTGCTGCAATGTAGACATGCTGATAAATCCCAGGTAACCTTACCCAGGCAGTCAAGGCTATCTTTGGGCTGACTCTTCCTTCTTGAAACAGGAGTTTGGGTGTAGGGTGGGCTGTGGGGAAAAAAAAAAAAAAAAAAAACACAAAAAAGAATGCACCTTCTTTATCAGGTGACAACTATAGTGATCAGCATCACTTCTACATTCAGTCGACACCCATCTCACTACTTTCAATAGGCAGGAAGTGCTGGACCAGTATTAGGCAAGCTTCCCTCATCAGGCCACCACCCTGCACTGCCCTTAAACACATGCTTATCATTACCCAGGTGCACCAAGCTGGAACAGTTGGGTACATAAAGTTAAGCTTGTGTTGTGCTGGACAGGACACTCACTGCCCAGTGTGTGCACCAAATGTGCACCACATGAGGCACGGCTCTTGTAGAGAAAAGGCAAGAATACTAGCTGTTGTGGTCTGAATGCCAATACCAGTGTCTGCAACTTAACATTGCCTTTTAACATTGCCCACTTTGAGCTGTGTTTACACAGGTCAGTAAGGGCTCCCTTTCCCTCCAATGTTGCCGAGGAGCTACTTACTTCCTTCTTTAAAACCTCGGTGAGGTGCTGAGTGCCTCCAACCCCCACTATACAAAGCATGAGCAGATGATACTCAGTGCCTGAGAGATGTAGGCCCTTAATCAAGGCCCAGAGGATTAGGTTCTGCACTAGGACTAGGCAGACCCAAGCCCCATTCCTGGCTTAGCCACTGACCTGCTAGGTGACCTTGGGCACGTCACCTCACTGCTCTGAGCCTCAGTTTACCTTTTCAGACCACATACAGGATAATTAAGGTGATTGCAATAATTTGAGGGGAATCTGAGACCAGTGGGGGGCACCAGCATGTGTGCATCACACCCCCACCCCCAACTGCCATATGCATGCACATGCGCGCGCACGCGCACACACACACACACACACACACCCCCAACCCTGCAGCTCCCAGAAGCAGGGCTGAGCAGGACAGCACAGCACACAAGCATGCATGCACACACGCATACAAACAGTCCTGACCTCTGGATGTGTGCACACACAGCCCCAGCTGCACAGTTCCCCACATGCACCCCTCCCCTGACCCCGACTCTGCTGCGCAAGTGACTCTGCTTACAGCCCAGCACAGTCCAGACCAGGGCGCAGCCCACTGACTGGGCTCCCTGGAGAAAATTAAAGCAAAAGTCCCAGATTGGCATGAACCTGCAAGTACATGCCCAGCTCCTGACTCAGGAGCTAGAGGTGTGAGTGGGTCCCCACCAATCCAGGGGTTTTGCTTCAATTTTTTCCAATGGCTGGGACACTGAGACAGCCTCTGAAATCCAGGACTGTCCCGGCCAATTCAAGACATGTGGTTACCCTAGGGATAATGGCCTCCCTCTCTGGCACAGCACTGTGAAGTTTGCGGAAAAGAAGCCCTGTGTGGGACTCTGTTGTCGTCATTCTTGCTTTTGCTTTCAGGGAAAGTCAGAGCTGATTGCCAAGCATTTCCCACCAGCAGGCTGATTTCGCTTCCTCCTACGACTGCCACAACACAAGCAGCCCTGGACAATGCTGTCTTGAGACTCTGACAGTACAACCTCGATTGCTGAAATAATCCTCCCTGCCTGCCAATCTCCTTGCCTTGAATTGTGCAGGCATCTGCAGATGGCTTCCCTGAGCTTCTAGTCTCAAGGTCACTGTGCTGCAGGGTGCTGCTGCTGCCTTAGACACAAACCTTCTGCAAACACCCACTTTGCTCCAAAAGCCAGAACAGCAGTTGGGCCGCGTGTCCTGGGTTGCTGCTGCAGGTGAAACCTAGTTTGACTCTGGCCAAATCAGGCAATGGCAGATAGCCTAGGAGAAGGGGAGCCTGTTTTGGATGTGCAATGGTGCCAGCAGGACTAATACCAGAGGCACAAACCATTAAATGGACCTGGAGATTGAGGCAGAGTTCAAGAGCTGAAACACACAGTGCAGCCTGTCCCCTACACAAGGGCCCTATTGTTCTGCAATGCAAATGCTGCAGGTGACAACCAGCAGCAGGAAGCTAAACACCAATGTGGAGTAACAGAAATGGCCTCCCAAAAGAAAAGGGGGTTGCATCTCCTAACCTGCACCCAGGCAAGGCATAAACTACGTGGGGCCTGCATGGCACGGACAGCACTAACTGGTGACCTGGCACAGGGCAGCAAGCAGGCAAGGTGCCTTGCAATTGCTCCTCAGGCATGTGTTTGAGCATCACTTTGGACTCATGCTAACAGCTACCCCCGCTTGATCTAGCTGTAAATGGTCACTGAGGCTGGGAAGTCCAAGGCAGCTGGATGTGATGCTAGCTGGGCTGCTGGCTACAGAAACCACACTGGCCCAGCAGCCCATCAGAGTCAGGCAGACAGACTCTTTCCTCTGACCTGCAGCTCACTTAGCACAATGTGTCCTAGTCACTTCCTGAAGAGGTGCTAAACTTAGCTGTTTCCTCAGCGTCCTTGCAGGGAAGTATATGCGTTAGACGCTGAATTTACCAGGGTCACGCAAGAGCATGTGGAAAGGGGAGGGGAGAAGCCAGTGAATGGATGAAACCCCTTTAATCCAATGACTACAAAAGCCAGAGGGACAAAAGGGGAAAAGGATCTTCTGAGGCAAGGCCAAACTGGGCACCTCACCTTCTGCCAGTGCAGGACCATCCCTTCCAACATGCTCCCAGAGCCTCACGCCACTCACGCAGCCTCCATCACATCCCTGGGGAGACCACTCCACAGGCTAGCGGCACTCTCAGCATTACGATAGATATCTTGGCATTCAGTCCAAGCGGTCTCCAAGTTTTGGTATGTCTCACTACTCCTTGTAACCCCCAGGGCCATCTTAACCTCTCCCCTCTCTACACAACTGTGTGAGGAAGGGTCCCCCACTCAAGCAGGTGGTGACAGGCTTGACTTACCTGTCCACAGATCTGTCCAGCGATTGGCAGCTCCCAGAGAGCGAATCGTCGGGGCTCAAGAAAGCATCAAGCATCTGTGAAGAGCAAAGAAGATGGGAAACAAATGAGGAGAGTGAATCTTTCCACCTTGAGTTGCAGCAATTTGGGTAAAACACTCCAGGTGCTGAATGGGGATAAATGCATGCAGCTCCAAAATCAGCCAGCTTGCATCCATGGGTGGAGTCTGGCCTCACCTAAGAGAGGACCTCAAAGCATTTGAAACTAATTAAGCTCTTCTAAGAGGTTGGAAGGGGCTATTATTCTCTGCCATCATACACCAATAGGGAAACTGAGGCACAAGTGATTCACCCCTGCGGCTTTCAAACATGCCAGGCATCGAGCAGCTGCACATGCTCGACACCTTTGAAAAAATCCGAGCACGTGTAGGCTAGGCCACAGAGCTCGACTATGGTTCAGGAAGGAGGGGAGACCCAACCTCACAACATCTACAACCATAAAACCGTCCTTCCCCTTGGCTGAGTTGAGGAGTGGACTTCAGTCTCGCCAAGATGGTGAGTCAAATGCTGTATACGCGTGGCTTCCTGGATGAGACATTTGACTGGGCTGGGTTATTTATAGCTAGTTATTCACAATAGAAGGGCTGTACTGGCTGGCCTGGTGCACCCACAGATGCACACACTTCCACTTACAATGGAGTCTTCTCTGGGCCACCCAGCAGCAAAATCAGCATCGTGCTACAACAAAGCACCAATTAACCCTCAGCACCCTGTGGAGGTAGGTGCTGGCTGCAGCCTTCTGTAGGGGAAGCCAAGGCAGGGAGGTGAAGCGACTTAGCCAGAAGCGTGGAGGAAGCTGGTCTCAGAGCTGGGATTAACATCCAGAAGGGAGCTCAGTCCCAGGGCACCCCAACACGCTTCCCTTTCTACGGGACATCCTTATAGTTATGCCTGTTAATTGGTTGTCACAGCAACACTCATCGTTTTGGCAGGAGCAGTCCCAAGAGATGGTGTAATTTTCTCGGCTTCACATTTTCACCCCGAAGGCTGACGCATCATTGCAGGAACCCAGCCAAGGAGGCAGGACCTGTCCTCCGAGTCCGTGATTGGCATTGCAAACTGGAGAGTCACTGGGGCCCTCGGGGAACGCTCTAGCAGAGGTCCAAGCATGCCATCTTCAAGGTGCTCTTGTTCCCTTTGAGCACAGTGGAGCTGACAGTCTGAACCGGGAGCCCCATTCTGGCTCCACTAATCTGCTGCGCTGGCCCCAGGGTCACCGTTACAAGGAGCTAGAGGGTGGTGCCAGCCCCTGGATGCTGTCAGCGAGCTGGCATGGAGCAGCGCCATGCTGTAAAGCTAATGGCCCTACATTACTTTACCCCAGCTGAGGTCCAGCCCAGGGCCCCGTCTCTCCCTTTGTTTTTGCCTGCTTGAGCACAGTTCAGAAACTTTCTGAACAAGGCAAGACCAGCTTTTGGCTGCCAGAAGCACTAGAGATATCTGTGCTCAGATGCTGCCAAGACTTACCCAGAGTGGCTTTTATTTTATTAACAGCCATATAATAAACCCCTGAAAACACAACTTTGCCATGGAAACGTTGGCACAGCCTCCGCAACACTGCTGCTAGCGGGTGTCTTCACAGTGCACAACTCTCCCTTCTTTGCATACGGTCTCTTCTATGGGGATAGTTATGCATCCTCTCGCTTACGGTAGCAGTCTCCCTTGGACGTTCACCCATGGTCTGGACAGCTTTAAAGGCAGGGCAGCACCGGGCCCCACCTGCACAGCCAGGGCTGCCCAGAGGTTTCCGGCCCGGATCTTGTACTTTACCGGGGTCTCCTGATCCTGGAAGAAACTCCATGCTGTGCTGGGACCAAGATGGCCCCATGGACTTCACATGGGAACTGGGCTCCAGCTGCAGCAAGCCAGTCATCAGGCTAACATTCAAGTTGCTCGGGTGAAGGGGTGCTTAAGCCCTGGCCCGGTGTCATCCAGTCTGTGGCACTTCCCATGAATCTGGACATTTGGTGGCAGGAAAGCAGTGGCAGCACTCTTCCACAACCAATTTCTAGATGCATGGGGAACTCCAGGCCCAGAGCACTGGATCAGGCAGCGATCCCAGCATGCAAGGCCAGGTAGGAGCAGCAGGTGGGGAGCTGGGAGGGGGAGGCACTGGCTCCAGGGCCCAGTCCTGGTGTGGGGAGCCAGGAGGAGGGTGGTCCCAGGCCTCCAGGGACCAATCCCAGCAGAAGTAGGGTGACACCAGGCCCTTGGGGAGCAATCCTGGCACACAGGGGTGGGGTGGGGGGTGGTACTGGACCTGCCCTAGGGTGCAATTCTGCCACGTGGGGCTCCATCCAGCTCGCAAAACAGCCCCACCCCACTCATCTGGCCCAGAGGGCCAAAAGTGTTGAGCACCACTGGTTTGGAGCAAACAGAGAGGATGGGAGCACAGCATTAAAGTGGGCTGCCCCCCAGTCCCAGCTGCCCCTTTCTGCTTTTAGGTATGGAGATGGTGAGACCAGAGGGCATTCCCACTGCAGGCCGCCGGCAATGCTGGGGTCACAGGGCTGGGTTCCTTACTAGGGAACCGAGACACAACATCTGGTTGGAATTAGAGGCAGAACCGTAGGAGGAAAAGGCTGCAAGAGTGGGGCCAAGAATGGGAACCAGAGCTCAGACAGAAACACAACACGGGAAGCAACAAGGTCTGCTCAGCACTCACAGCTCACTGCAGGCCCTGCAGCTTGCCGCGCTCCCATGGTCCTAGCACATGGCCTGGGAGCGGCACTCGCCCAGTTCCAGCATTTAGTAGGGTTACAGGGTGCACGGGAGGAGAAGGGAGGAAGAGGGTGGGAAGGGAGATGTTAAGGGGTGATGCCCAAGTGGGATATAGTCACAGCAGCGGCAGCTTCTCAGTAGATCTGGGAATGAGGCCCCCTGAGCACCCACAGCCGGGAAGTCCTGGCCCCTCAGGACCTGCCCAAGCATGCACCACCCACCCACGCCCAACCCGGACCCGCAAAGTAGAAGCCACTTAGCAGTTGCCTGCACCTGCTGCCATCTTCATGACCTCAGCCCTGGGGAGCTCAAGAGCAGCCAAGGGGAGGCAACCCTGGAGCAGCTTCTCAACTTCACCCCATACCTTCCCTACCTCCCTACCTCAGGTTTGGTGTGTGCGAGTGGGCAGAGGGAGGGCAGAGATGGGAGTGCAGGGGATACAGAACCAAGATTGGGACTGTGATGGCATCACTGGACCCCTTGCAGACCTGGAGACTTTGCTAGTCTCCTCAGTCTTCCCTTCCTGGAGGGGCAGCACCCAGCACTGCAATAATGTCCATCTGCCAATGGCAGGCGAGGCGAGGCTCTCAGCTGCCAGCTGCACTCACGTTCGGGTCCGTGATCTCTGGAATGAACTCCCCCTCGCTGTTAATGCTCGTGTAGGACCCCTGCCGCGCGATCTGCTGCTGCTCCTCGGGCACGCTGCCTGGGGGCGGAGAGCTCCGGCCGGTGTGCAAGGAGCCTGCAAGGCAAAGGTGATGGTGAAGGACAAAAGGAAACAGCCCCTGCGAGGTCCTTCCAGGGGGGTTGGGCACAGCCCTCCTGCCTGATCGAGCCGGAGCTGGGTACTAAGCTTGACTGATCTCAGAGAGGGGGGACAGCAAGAGAGGGGAGACCCTGCATGTCAGAGCTTCGCTCAGGACTTCGGAGCAGATGCTGCCTTTGCGCTGTGTGTCTGTATGATGCTGCCCACTTCTCACTTCATCCCATTGCTCTGCGACCCACCCCAACCACCCGCAGCAGCGCTCACGCACTCCACTGCTTATCACTGTTGTCTGCATCAGCCACACAAATTTAGCTATTTCTTTTCTCCTCAACCCCTGCTTTTCTCCTTGCATTGTTCAGTAATCCCTTAGAGACAAGGGGTCAGGCAGCGCTCTGCTTCCTTCAGTGCTGGGGCAGGTTATGCCAAGGATCTACATGATCAGCAAGGCCGAATCTGCATCTCCGACTAGCACAAGTCATTCCAACCAGCTCCTAAGAAAGCTGCTTAAGAGCACAGTTTCCTGCAACCCTGGCTACTTCCGCTGCTCTCATTGGAACTCCCTGTGGTTTGGGTCTCCTGTGCTGCTAACGAGATGCCAAGGCCTAAATGCTGTATTTCAAGAGCAGATCCATAGGAGAGAGCCCATAGCTTCTCCAGCTCACAGTGCGTCTCACAACACACTGTCACTGTAGCTACCATAACACACGGGAAGCAACAGGCCAAATTCATCACTAGCGTAACTCTGCTAGTTACCCCAGGCATCTCTGGACTTCCTCCTCCTTCCACTTACACTGATGCAAATCAGCAATTGGCTCACTGATGTCAACAATGCTGCCCCAGATCGAAAAAAACAGGCCACCCTGCACCTATGCTGGAGCAAATTACATCCCAGCGTAAAAGCTTCACTAGGGGAAAAAAAAGAAATTCATCGCTTTTTGCTGCCGATTCCTTCCTTAGACTTTAAAAATAATAATCAGATGGGTTTGGAATCATTTTTCTTTTTACTCTTTTCCCCTCAGATTTCCTGCAGGATAAGCGCCCTGAGAAAAAAAAATAATCCACATGAACTGATGCCAAGACCAAGGAGAAAAAATGGTCCCACTTGTTACAGCTCTCCTATCGCACTGGCTTCGAACCAGGCTTAGCAAGAAAAACAAATGGGAAGTACGCCACAGCTTCTTTCCCCCAACAACAATCATTTAACCACTTCTTCGCTCAGTTGCCTTAAATAAACCAGGTCCGCAGGATTACTGTTCACTTATTTCTTTGCACCTGGCAGAGGGTTGTGTTAAGGATGGGCACAAAAGCAGCCCCTACCCAAGAGCAATTAGTGGCTCTTTTGCATGTTTGAATTACTTAGTCTCAGCTGGATTTAGGATTTCTATCACTGAGATGTTACAATACCTCTCACCATTTACTTTCTAAGAAAACCTCATGTCCCAGTCCCACGGTGATTCATTGGTTCCAAGCTTAACTTTAAAGACAGCAGTAGTCCCCATGGACTGAAACAGGACTGCTCCCAAGTGTAAAGAAACCTGCCACAATGGCTGGACAAAAAGTAAACTGGATGGAGAAAGGGCTATCTAGAGGGACAAAGCTCTGGGAGGAGCTGCCGGGACTTGTCCCTGTAGTTTCAGCACCCACAGACACAGTGCTCAGAGCTCCCATGACGTCCCCTCGGCACTCACCCCGTGCCCTGGTCCATACGCCTGTTTTGCAAAAAGCAGAAGCATTGCAGGTAGAGGGACAGCAGGACTTTGCGTGAGGCATCTGCTCCCTGCACGCACCCTTCAGCGTGTAGGAGAGACCCAGCCCAGCCACCATTAGCCAAGCCCCAAAAGGGCCCATCACCACCTGTTAGAGTCATAAGCGCCAGGTGACAAAGTACCATGACCAGGACCTGAGACACCTCATCCTCAGGCATTCAGACAGATGAGATAAACTTATCCACCCAAGGAGGACTAGAGAGACAATGCTGACACAGCCCAGCGGCACAGGTAGCTCGCTACGGCTCATGCCGAGAGACCGCCAAGGTGGAAGGGGTGGTGTTGGTGTGTTTGCACTAGACCTCTGATGCCGAGGGAAGAGCAGCAATGCCAGGGCCAGAAAGGAGATGCCCAAGGGGAAGGAGCAGGCTCTCAAAAAGCTTGTTCACAACAGGAGCAGAGCGCCCGGGGCCAGCTGGTGTCAATCAGGACAGCACCGCTGCCGTCAAGATACCTCTGGGGACTTGCTCCAGACACGCGTCTGGCCTATGGCCCCAATTACTCCTCTGAGCCGAGCCGCTCTGAGCAGAAAGTGGAGTAAGAGCTCCACGCCGCATTACGCACAGCATCATGTAAGGCCATTAGCTCAGGACTAGAGCACAGCATGTCCTGAGCAGGGCCGGCCAAGCCAGCGCAGAGGCCCTGACAGCCACTGCTGGCATTCGCAAGGACTTTTTGTGTTCCTTTCCGTTACGTTTCTTAAGCAGCTTTCATCCAGCATGTGCAGAAAGTCCAGGCTGTTGCACGTACAGCCGCGTCCCCCCATGCCAGGCTTGGCTTCCCTCTGTCTAAACATTCCTGGCTTCGTTGTCCCGCCTGCTGCAATAGCTCACCCCAGGGCTCTACCAAAGACTTATCTCCCAGCAACCCCCTACCCCTACTGACCAGGGACCAAGATAAGGCGGAGGATGCTGCTATGATTTCATGGCTGTAAAGGCTTCATCAGACACTACCTATGCCCACAGCTGCAGACCCCAGCCAGGGAGGGCTCAGGCCTGGGCTGCTGCTGCTACATAAACCAAGGGACGTTGTGCAAAAACAAGATATTCCTAAGAGTCCCTGCCTAAGACACGGGCTTGGGACGCAGCACCAAAGACGACAAGGATTTGAGGGATACCACGTTGTGCCAATGGGACTGTTCATCTGCAAGCACGTCAGACTATGAGCTGCCCCAAGTGCAGGCGGGTTCCCAGGGAACAGCTCTACCTCCTGCTATCCGCGTGGCCCTCTTGTCTCCCTGTGTCGCAGGTCTCCCCACCCCACACTGATTCCCAGAGGATGCAAGTCTGCTGCATCCCTTGCTTAGGTTTTGTCTATATTAAGTTTGCCACAGAACTCAGGTCCTTCTGATAACACTGTGGGTGGATCCACACTTGCAACTAGCTGGGGAGTGACAAAAAGGGTCCTACTACCACTGACGGGCCACCAGAAAGAGTGTAGTCACACCCACGCTGTATCTGTCTATATAACATCTATATTTGGCTGCTTGTGTTTCCTGGATAAGCAAGAACGTCGTCCTTCAGGGTGTTCTCTGAAATCCTACATGCTCCAAAGGGGATACGGCATGGCTAGGTGATGGCCAAGACCCCACAGTCCTGCCTGACAGTTCAAAGCAGACACTAGGTATGATACAAGCCCCTGCATTCACCTGAACCAGCTCTTTGCAAGCAGAGTGCCTGTAGCCAGAGTGGCCTGGCTTTACAGTCCCTCTCAGGCATGGGAGGCTTTAAAAAGCTGCTCAACACTGGAAAGTGACTGCAAAAAAATTAGGGCTAGGTGAAAATTTCCCATCAAAACTCAAGACATGCACAAGGGAGGAAAAAAAAAACAAAAAACCCCAGCTTTGATTCCCAGAAGTCAGTTTGACTCTGCGGAAAGAAAAAAAAATTCTCATCGCTTTGCTCATAGGCTGAGCAATTTCCTTGAATGCAAAATCACTGGGGGAAATGGCACAAAGCTGCCATTTTTTAAAATCACTTCCCAGAGCAGAATTTCTCTTAAAAAAATATGCAGATTAGAAAAGGCAGAGCTGAGATTTCCATTCAGCCAAACGGATTTAGATTAACAGAGAGCAACCTTCTGCACCCCAGGGTGAAGAAGAAATAACCCAACCCAAGAGACAACCACCCAGGCTGGCAGGTGGCCATAGCACAGGGCTGGGCAGCACCCCTTTCCTTAGGGAAACCACCATGGGGTTATCCATGACCACATGTAGCTTGCACAGTGGCTGCAAATAACGGCCTCACCATCAACTCAGTGACACCTACCAGCCTGGACTGTCCAGTTGCCAAGCCACCCAGTGCCACCAGGAAAGGAAAAAGAGCAACCTTCTGTATTACTATTGCCCCTAAGGAAAATCCAGGTGCTGTGGCAAAAGGCTTCTCCATAAGTGTGCTGGAAAACTCAGAACAGAGGACAATATGACCTCAAAATTAAGACATGGGACCAGAACTGAGAAAATCTGAGTTTAGCTCCCAGCTCTGCCAGGGAGTGCCTCATTCCTTATCTTTGAAGGATGGATGGCACTTCCTTTGTCTTTGCTGCCTATTTAGCCCTCACCTTCCAGGGTGAAAGTGGGTCTCTTGCCAAGTATTCCTACAGGGCTGAGCCCAAAGGAAGTCCAATTCTGGCTGGGGACTCATTAGAAACATGCACATGTTTTACAGCATAATAAAATCCTAATGCAGCACAGCCACAAGTCTAAGCGAGTGCCCCACCTCACATGAACCCAAAATAATCTGATCTCACCCCATCCGCCACTACATACGTAAACAATTCTGCCATTCACACGCACACATTAGCTCCCCGTGCCATTGCTGGCATTCGACTGCTGGCCTGTGTTCACGGTGTAACGTAGCTCAAGAGGAGCATTAGAGATGTTATTCTGTCCAAGCCCAGTTTCTACTGAGGCTCTGTGCAATAACATGTATTCATGTGTGCTCTTCATTCATAATTATCCAGGGGCTCTGCCAGGGTCTGGGCAAGCTCTCAAGAGCAGCATGAGCTAAATGAAAACAATGGGAAAAAAAGAAAGAAACCTGGCAAATAAAAGCCGCAAAGCCAAACAGCACTCTTGTACACATAAAGGCAGCTCTTCTGATTTTGGTGGGAGGCAGGCATGGCTGTCATAGAGCAGAATTTCACTTAACATAGGAGAATATGCAGTATATATTCTATACTGGCATAGCTGCACATATGGTGAGCAAGAGAAACAGCAAATCCACAAGAAGACACACCTCTCTTGTAGTCTCCACTTACGGAAAAATCCTGTAGTGTGCATACTAGGCCAGCTGTTTGGCACAGGGCCTGTGGCCATGTCTACCCCACCTCCATGCCACTCCTGGGAGCACCACAGTGAAGCATGCCTCACCCAGTCAGCACATGCCTGAAAATGAGGCCTCAGAGCAGCACTTTGCTCAGAGACATCCATAAGCTCGCTCTCTCTCAGAGGGAGAGTGCAGGCAAAATCAGCTTCATAGCGGCCCACAGAGATGGTGTACACAAGCCGCGCGCGCGTGTGTGTCTGTGTGTGTGTCTGTGTGTGTGTGTCAAACCCAGTGTCTCTGACCAGACAGAGACCTCAGGCAGAGCCAGTCCACCTATATTAAATAATCTAGGTTAAAACAACAGAGGTCCTTTCAAATGATGCTATTAAAAATCCACAGAATGCAGCACAGGACAGTCTCTTTTGTACAGACTGTGCGATCCAGCCGACAAAGCGTAACCAAGAAGTATCTACCTGGAACAGTATTCCTTGTCGGCTTGCTAGCCTTATAAAAGTATACCTGCCTCTTAAATTCTACAAGATTTTTTCTGTAAAGGTCTCATTAACATTAACAGACCAAGAAGACTCTAGTAAAAGCATTTTTCACCCAACGATCTCAAAGCACTTCACACGGAGGCAGGAAATCATCATGTCACAAACAAGGGAAACCAAGGCAAAGGCAGAAGGGACTTGCCCAAAGCCAGGCAAGGAAGCGACAGAGCCAGAACAGGCACAGGCCAACAGAAACCATCCAAGCAGACTGAGGGCCAGAAGTGCTGGCACAACTTTTCCCCAGGATGAGACTTGGACAATAATTGCATGGAGCCATGGGTGGACTGGCCAGCTGTGGAGAAGACATTCATGGAGACACAGCACTCCAGGGGACAAGTTGGGAATGGGACTCAGGCAATCCTGGCAAACCCAGGGGCATCCCATTTCACTGACCTGTTGAATACTTCCGCGTCCTCTCGCCGTCCTTATACAAAGACCCCATGATGTCTCCCATGGACTTGGAGATTCTCATTTCATGCTGCTTACTGTTGTTAGGCTGTAGGAACTAGAAAGCAGACAAAGGCCATCAGAGAGGTGGTTTGAGCCATTCCAGGTGCCCCCATGAAATGGATCACATCTGGAGCCGATTACCATATAATGTGGGCCCAAGGAGGTTGAAGTGGAACCTTTCATGACACAGAGCATGCAGAGGCTGATAAATATGATTCAAGTGCTGCAGGGAAGGGAAATGGTACCTCAACTAGCAAGGACAGTAAATCAGACTTCTTGGTTCTGGATGCAACCTATTTGGTTGGTTTCAAATAGAAGACGAGGAGAAGCCGGCTGGGCCCTAAGAAGTTTACACTCTAAGGCCCCGCTCTTGCAATCTGACTTGTGTCTCCTGCAAGCCCCATGGCCCTCAGTGCAACCTTATGCAGCTTAAAGGATTCATCCATGGTGATCAGACTATGGAACTGGGGCCGGAGAGGAAACCTAGACTGGTGAAGCGGGAGGTGGACTGGAAAGGAACAGCAGATCCCAGGTGGTAAGTGCCAAGGGTGTACAGTGATAAATGCTATGCCCCAGTACATCACAGCTCTGCTGGGGCACAGATTGCCCTCAAGAACCCATGCCCTGGCCAAGCAGCTGGATCAAGTGAGGCACATCTGTACAGTGCAAGGGGAAGCCTATTCTGTTCTCTGGCCAGAGCATCACCCTCTCCCTAGTCACTGGAGCAAGAGCTAATGGCCACCCCAGTTTCCTATGGGACCCCACATGAAACTCCAACCTACCAACCCACCTGCAACCACTTTGCAGCAGTGACTACTGCTGCTGCAATGCTCCTGCAATCACCAGGAACCGCTAGAGACTGCCCGGTCAGAGGCAACTGGGAGCAATGTGAGGAAGCCCAGGACAACACTTGGGAGAGCCAACTTCCTGCTCCAGTCTCTGCACAGTGCTAAGAATTTCCCACCGTTGCAGATCACCCTTAACACCCACTGAAGTCAGTGGGAACCAGAGACACTCAGCACCACTTCAGGTTGGGATCTGATGTGGAAGAAACTGCCACTGTTGCACTGACTGCCTCGCTGCCCCTTGACGCAACACCCAGGGTACAAGCCCACAGCTGCTCAGCATATACCTTGGCAAAAGCAGCGTGCAGATCTATGGAGCCACACAGCTATTCCTTTGCAGGGTACCCAGCATGGGTTAGTCGTGCTTAACATGCTTAATTGCAATGCCACAGAGCTCAGGGGGTGGAAGCAGAGGGTGCAAGGGGGCTGCACAGCCTGGGATGCCGCAGACTGCTCCACTCTCAGCCTCTTCTCGTAGGGTAAAAGCACTCCGTGGTCTCTGAACAGATCATGTCCTTTGCCACCCCCCTGCAAAGCTGACCATGTAGGTCAACATTGCTACCAGGATAGCCCATGACAAGACAGTCATGGTGTCCCTTAGCAAGATGCTAGGCTGTGGGGTCTCAGAAGTTCCCTGGAGGATGCACTGTGTGGAGGACCCCTTGCAAGATTATACACATCCCTGTTGGTCTCACAGATCTCTAAAGGCACCTGGCACCTTAGCAATCCATCCCCAGATCACAGACAGACAGTGCTGGAATAGACCCAACCACTGTTACAGCAAACAGGGCTGCTGGCAGCAA